TACGTGATCAGTTGGCTTTCAATGTATGTGCTGTTAATAACTCTCAGCTACTACCACACACAATTTTAGCTCTATCTGTACAAACTGACTGAGTTCTAACCAGTTTGGTGTTTGAGATGGCCATCTTCACTGAGATTAACTCCCAAAAGTTCAATCATTACTTTCTAAGAGTGTCATTAAAATATACCCAGTGTTTCACAAGATATTTTCCTAACAAGCCACTTGTGGACACTATCAAATAATCATTTGCTGCCTTTCATTACAATACTAAAGCTTCTCAACTTGTGTAGCACGTGTATAAATAAGTAGATGAATCAATCCATTAGTTTTTATAGAGTACTGGATTACTAAAATATTCAGTAGCTGCAACTTTGCACTCCTGTTTCTGTTCGGTTGGTTTTTGTTTCATGCTTTGTAGATAATGTTCCTGAAGCCCCCCCCCCCCCCCCCCCTCCCTACAGATCATTTTACCTGAAATATTTCCTGCATAAAACTACATCAGCTCTTTTCTAATGTGGCTGTGGACCCATTGGTTTTTACTCCATCTAGTCAAAATGAATCCATCACTACTGGTTTAGTAGCACACAACAAGTAGGGATCTGCTGCCGCCTGCCTCGCTCTTTTCAGCCATCACCACCGTGGCTCTGTGGCTGCTGTCAGCCTAATGAATGGAAAATGCCGGAGCTCTTCCTCGTCTCCTCGGGCCAGCTTACGGGTGCGTTTTCTATTTTGCACTAAGAAATAACAGCTGCAGGGCTGTCGTGTCGTGTTGCTCTGCAGGAGGCAGAGTGGAAAAAGCTGTGCAGAAAGTACCACAGCTGAGGAAATGATGAGCTTTCAGGCTGATGATGATGATGGCTCACACGCCCTGCGTGCGTGAAAACGCACATCAGCATTAAACGCCAGTTTGTGAGGTTCTGGTTGATATTTTTGATTTTCAATACATCCAGTTGGATTTAAAATCGGTAGCCATCCTTATGGTCCACAGATTAAAGAGTAATTAAAAAGGCCTTTTTGAAATGGGCTTTGATTCTTTTAAATCTACAAGAGGTTGTAAGAGTAAAGACTAATAAATGGATCATATGAAACTGGGTAACATAAGTCAACAAAACGTAAACTAAAACGTGAGGCATGCTCAATAATCCAGGTAGATTAATCTAACAAGGTTGAGTCAGGTCATCCGGACAGATTCTTCTTTGTAGAAACGTTTCTTCTTTTATCCAAAGGACTTCTTCAGTCTGAGGAGCTGCAACAAACTCAGTCTTTAAATAGCACCTTCTCATATGGGATCAACCAGTTTGCTTCTGACAGCCAGAACTAGCTGTTCACATGATAAAAGAGGACCATCAGCCTAACAATTGGTTGTTAGTGCCCTGATGGCCGCTTGCTATTCAGAGGGCTGAGTGATACTAGCAATAACATCATTGTAAGATGGAGGTAGTTGAGCATGGAGGCCCCTGTTTAATGATTCATTCATTCAACCTTTATTTAGACCGGTAAATCCCATTGAGCCTCGCAAACTCATTTACAAGAGACCTGATATGATGGACGGGTTATCTTCACAAAGATGGCCTCCTTTATTCCTCTCTCAAACCAACTAAGCTAAGGATGCATTCACACCAGTCCTGTTTAGTCCGCTTTAATCGAACTCTAGTCCGTTTGTCTAGAAAGTCCGGTTTGTTTGGGGAGGTGTGAATGTGCAATCGAACTCTGGTGCCAACCAAAAAAAGCGAACCCTGGTCCGCCTAAATACCTAGGTCTCTGTTCGGTTGAAGTGAAATCTAGCTCCAAAATCAGGAAGTGGACTACAGCCCAGGGCATTCTGGGTAATTGCAACCAAAACAAACACGCATGGTCTCCATGGTCTTCTGTCTCATCTTCTGCTCCTGCTGAGTCCATTGTTGGAAAATGTTTGTTTGGCACATGTACCACAGACAAAACCGAAATCTTAAAACCGCTAAAATTTGATGCCACTCTATTTTGTTTTTTTATTTCCAGAAGTAAGCAGTGTTGCCAGATCTCCCGATGGAAACAAGCAACCAGTTCTATGAAAACAAGCCCAACTGGCAACCCACCACATTGTGTAAAACAGAGGCTGTTTTTGAACAGTATTAACATACATTTATTAAGGGATTACACAGAACAGCAAAATTATGCTAAACACTTTGAATAACATATTTTTAAGCTCTGATTAAAAACAACAACATTTTGTATATGTAATTTTTTTCTACATATTTTTAAAATGCAAAACATCCTGACATCTGCGTGTGAGCGGAGCCCCCTAGTGGTCGGCGACAGTATGAGTGTTCGGGGTGCACACCCACAGACGTATATATGTCTATTGTGGGTAGCAATAAACAGGAAACAGGAGCGTGGAAGGGACAAACTACCTACTATCCCTCATCTTTTGCTTTATTGTGCGGAGCTGGACGATGATCAACCAGTTTCACTTGGAAAAAAAGTCGAGCCTAAATAACCGCAACCGGCGACTCACCAGTTTTGCAAGCGACTTTAGAAAAGAACAAGCCCAAAGTCGCTTATAATAAGCGGACTTGGCATCTATGGAAGGAAGTTGTGCTCACTGTCTTCTTCAGAGGTTTTTGTGTTGTTTCCTTCAGTAGTTCTTGTAAGCAAATGTTCCAAATTTTGGTCCCCAATCGAACTTGAGTCTACCGGACTATCGGGTGTGAAAACGACCTAAAACACTTGACTCCTAATGTTTTTGTGCCCCATCATTCATGTGGGAGTTCAAGTTCCTGCCGAGGAGTGTAAATAAGACGTATAACTGTTGTTTTGCTTGGCTTTTGATCAAAAGATTTCATAAAGCAGTCAGTTGTTGCAAATGATTGTTAATCTGTGAAAATCTATAATTTGCTGTTGTATCGGTGCATTATTTCAGTCTGAAATAATCTTAATTCCTACTGCATCTCCAGGCTCATAAGATTCAGATCAGCCTTCCAGGGAGGAAGAAAGAGCCGGGGAAGAAGTCTGTAAAGAAAACAAACTCCACCTCCGTTCCTGCAAAGAATCAAGCAAACTCAATAAAGTAAATGGTTTTTATTGCGTTTATTCTCCCCAGATGTGACTTCTTGCTCTTTGTGTTGTAATTTCTTCAGTTTTGGCTTTAAATCCCAACCTCTCGCCCTCCGCAGGTCGTCATCTGTGAGCTCCGAGGGAACGACTACTGAGAGGGAGAAGACGGATTCAGAGGAGGAGGAGAAGCAGGTCTCGCCTCCACTAGAGGAGCTGGTGGAGGCTCCGCCCCCTGCTGCTCAGAAAACGCCGGTGCACCTTCAGAGGCAGCTTGTGAGGAAAATGACACGCTTCATAGGAAGCTGTGCAGAAAAGATGGAAACAAATTTCTATTTCTTGTTGTCTTGTTTTCTTTTAGATTCCAGAGGAGTTCGACATCGACTCCGACAACTCCGAGGACTGTTACCTGTGTCCAGAGTACGCAAAGGATGTCTTTGACTACCTGAAGCAGAGAGAGGTGAGCTGACACAGATGCTAGAACATGTTTCTAATCGTTCAAGTTGCCCTCGGTGGCTCTGATAAAGGTCACTCCAGGGAGTGACGCCGAATGTTAAGGTTGTCGTTCTGTTTGCATCTCTGCTCCGGCTCAGGAGAAGTTTGTCCTCTCTAACTACATGTCCAAGCAACCCAGTCTGAACCCAGAGATGAGGGCAATACTGATCGACTGGCTGGTTGAAGTTCAGGTGAGTAATCATGACACATCTGGGTAAAATTTATGTTGCGTAAAAAAAGTTTTTGTGGTTTCCAACCAGGAATGTTCTCAAAATGCCCCCATTTTAATGTGTAAACCTAAGAAGCCAAAAGGGAAGATTTAAAGGAATGTTAAAGCTGCTGGATGTGATGCATTATTGTTACTACGGTAACCACATGTGTGTGTCTCATTCCTTGGCGGTACTGGGCCTGCCACGATAACTAATATTGCTGGGCGATTAACTGTCTCAGAAATTATTGCGATAAACGATAATATTGTTTGAAATTTGACAGTTAGTAATTATTGTTTAATTTAAGAAGAAATGTCGGTTAATTTTTGTGTGTAGTACCTTTTTTCGACCACCGGATGGCAGTATAAGACTGTTTAAACCGAAGGATGGAAAGTGAGGGAGCAAGCGTCACTTTAAGAAAAATGGGAGGGAGGCCTCTTGACGTGACATGGGCTGTCTCTCTTCGGTTCTCAAAGTGGTGGACGCTCTGTGTGGTTTGTGCTCTTTAGCATAGCATTTTTCACAAAAAGCTTTTAATTAAAAAAAATCAGTAAACAAGTTCTCAGCTTCTTTTTGAAGGGAAAAACAACTTTTTACACGAAGGCACGGGTTTCAACCATGAATTTTGGAGCTTCGACAAGAAGGAAGTTTTTCCCGAGGTCGACCTGTTAGCTTAGCTTGTAGCTTAGCTTTTCAGCGCAGCTGCTTTTTAACGATCCAAAAACGTGATTTTGGACGGTTAAAATGGATTTTAAAGAGAAAAGACAAAGGGAGGGGTCGTTGAGGAGCACCAGAGTTGAGCTTTTTGTCATCCAGTGTCTTCAGTAGAAAGAGAGAGAAGAATAAACGATGAAGCGATAAATGAAAATGAGGTCGATAATTTTCATTTATCATGCGATTAATTGATTTATTGTTTATCGCGACAGGCCTAGACAGGACTCTTAAAAAGACAGGCAGACGGAAACAGAGTAGAAAGTGATCCTGAGGCAGTCTTGATGAAAAGATTTCTGAATCTTAAGGAGCAGAAGCATCTGGCCCTCGAGGGCCACCATCCTAAAAGTTGTAGTCATTTCCCTGATTCACTTGAATTACTCTTGTTAATCACTTTCTAATTCAAATCAAGTTTTTTGAGCAGAGATGTGTGAAGACATGCAAGAAAGTGGGATATGAAGATTAGGATTGGACCGTAATGGTTGTGTACAGTTTTACTGTACACAATGTATGAAATATAAAACGAACAAAGGCCTTTCACTTTGGTCTTGAACAGTCAATTTTGAGCTCTGATACATTGAGAGTTTAGATGTTTGGATCCTATTAACTGCAAGAATCTTTATTATCCCCAAGGGGCAATTTGTTTCAGTCAGTAGTCGCACCAAACATTCATACTAGACAAAACATTGAGACAATAAAATAACAGAAATCATCACCGTTTGTTGAGAAGACTGATCTCTACAGGGATGAATGAGTTTTTCAGTCTGTTTGATCTACATCTGGGCAGCAGATACCTGCGTCCACATGGAAGCAACCTGAACTCAGCATGGAGTGGATGATCAGGATCTGCCAGAATCAGCCTGGCCTTGTTCACTGACCATGTCTTGTGTAGGTCAGTGAGGTTCTGTAGGTCAGTGAGGTTCTGTAGGGCTGTACCAGCAGTTTTGCTGCACATCCTGACAATCCCTGAGACTTTGTTCCTGTTCTTACATGTCAAAGGTCAGTTTGTCATCAAGAACCGTTCGCAGATATTTATCTTGATGCACCACCTCAGCAGCTTCACCGTTAATGACCACAGGAGCTGCAAATGAAGAGCCTTTTCTGAAATCAATGACCATCTTCGTCTTAGAAACATTTAACATTAAAAAGAAGACTCGGACCATTCAGTGAAGGCCACAGGCCCGCGGTCTGGGTCATCACTGCTGAGAAGGGACAGGATGACGGCGTCATCAGCAAGCTTTAAAATATGGCAGGCATTTTGATATCGTAAAGTCCATCTTTCTGTGACCTTATGAACTTCGAACGATGCTTCTAATGTGAAGTGTGTCTGAGCTACAGAGACATAAAGAGAACTTGCTTTGCTCGGTTTTTATAGTTTAATTTATTTTTGTCAAAGTCCCAATTTTATGTGGAAAATGTTCAGTTTTATTTCCCAGTTTTCATTTGTCATTGAATATACTGCTACCAAAAGCCAACACAATATTTTTAATAGAGTTCTCACATTTTGATGCATTGTTTATTTGTCAAAGCTGCAGGAGTGGGGAATGAAAAATTCTGACAATAACAAGTAAATAAAGGCTGAATGAAAACAAGTGTTGACTGAAAAATAATAGTAATAAGAGCTCTTTGATGCTTTTGCACTGGCACCCTTCATTAATCCTCCAGGCAGCCGGTGTTGAAGAAAAACTCATCTGGAAGCAGAATCCAGACTGTTCTCGTTGCTGCGATCTTTCTGTTCTGATTCTGTCTTTGCCTCTGCAGGAGAACTTTGAGCTGTACCACGAGACCCTCTACATGGCCGTAAAGATGACCGACCACTACCTGTCAAAAACTCCCATCCAAAGAGAGCTGCTGCAGCTTGTCGGCTCCACAGCCATGCTCCTAGCTTCCAAATTTGAGGTGAGGGGGGTTTTAAACTAGGCCTGTCATGATAACAAATTTTGCTGAGCGATTAATTTTCTCATAAATTATTGCGATAAACGATATTGTTTGAAATTTGACAATTATTAGTAATTGCAGTCAAATTTAAGAAGAAATGTTTAAATTGTTTTTGTGTGTAGTAACTTTTTTGACCACCGGATGGCAGTATGAGACTGTTTGAGCTGAAAAAGAGAAGAGAGTAAAGAAAAGAGAAAGGGAGGAGTCGGTGAAGAGCACCAGAGTTGAGCTTTTTGTCTTCCGGTGTTTTCAGTAGAAAGAGAGAGATGAAGAAATGATAAAGCCGATAAATGAAAATGATTGGCCTCATTCTAATTTATTATGCGATTATCGTGACAGCCCTATAACTACCGTACTTGCCACCGTACACGTCGCACCGCCGTGTAAGTTGCATCGTCCAAACATGTCTAATAAAGTGGGAAGAAATATAAATAAGTCGCTTCGCCGTATTAGTTGCATCTTTTATGCGTCACCGCTGACAACCAAAAAATATGGGCCGGTGTTGTGCCAAAAATCGATTGGCTGCCAAAAGGCAGCCGTGGGAGCGTGCACGGGAGGACTTTAACAAGACGTTAACAAGATTAACGCTTAAAACAATTATTTGTTTGCTCGAAATTATAGTAAAGGTGTGTCTCAGTCTAACTTTTCCTTTATAAATGCACTTTGATGGTCAAATCAGCTGCATTTCTCCTGGGTGGTGGCGAAATGCAACCGATTTGACGTTTGCTCCAGGAGTTGTGGAGCGAGACGAAGGTGGCTTAGTATGGCAAGCCAAGTGTCTCATTAATAGCCACGTTTACCTATTAATGAGACACTTGGCTTGCCAGATGAGTCGAGGGCCCTCTAGTGGCTGAAAATGATAGTGTTCAATAAACATAACTGGTTTGTTCCACTTTGGAGTAAGCTGTTTGGGGGAAGAATCAGTTTTGTGTTGTGTGTTTCCTTGACTGATGAAGCCTTCTGGATGGAAGGTGAAACATTTCAGCAAAAAAAAAAAAAACTTTCCAGATGACCTGACTGAAAATTGATGGATTGTATACCTAGATCATTGAGCATGGATTATTATTATTATTTTTTTTTTTTTTGGTTGTGTTCAATATTTTCCATGTCGGAATGAATGAAATCATCATATCTCAGCCAAAAATTTGGTTATAAATGCGGGGGGGGGGGGGGGGGGACATACGTAACTCGTTTTGCCATACAAGTTGCAGGGCATGTTAATTTATGCAAAAAGGTGCGACTTATATGGCGAAAAGTACGGTAAGTAAAGCTGACAACCGTGAGGGTTTTAACACCAAAACTAACACGGCTCCATTAGGGGGCCTGTAAGGTAAATGATGAGCAACATACAAGTAACATTTTTATTTTTGTGATCCTGCAGGAGCGCACCCCGCCCTGTGTTGACGATTTCCTTTATATCTGTGATGATGCGTACAAGAAGGAGGAGCTCATCTCCATGGAGGCCAGCATCCTGCAGGCGCTGTCGTTTGACATCAACATTCCAGTCCCGTATCGCTTCCTCAGACGCTATGCCACGGTGTGTTGGTGTGTTTTCTGAGCTCGAGCGCAGCCTGGACGACGTGCAGCTCCTGCCACCACCAGTGTGTTGATCGTATGAGTGTGGGATGCTTTTGTTACTCTGCTGCTCTTGAGACTGCTTTCTTTGGCTGTCTCTGTAGTGTGTGAATGCTGGGATGGACACCTTGACTCTGGCCCGCTACTACTGTGAGATGAGTCTCCTGGAGATGGACCTGGTGCCAGAGAGAGGCTCACTGGTTGCCTCGGCCTGCTTGCTGATAGCGCTGGTTACCAAAGACCTGGGAGGATGGGTGAGTTAAGCCCCACACCGTCTTAAACAAGCCATACTATCCACACAAACCTTACATCGTTGTCAGATCAAATAAAACATTATATTATATTATTGATGGGTTGGAATGAGTAGTCTCTTTATATCAGGAAAAGGAGTTTACTCACTGTAATTTCTGGACTATTAAGCGCACCTGAATATAAGCCACGCCCACTAAATTTAGAGGATTTAAAAAAAAATGCCTTTATTTAAATTTTATGAACTTGTTTTTTTTTTTTGTTTTGTTTTTTTTTTGTTTCGTTTTTTTGTTTGTTTGTAGAAATCTTATATGCCTGTGATCTCCAGGCTCACAGGTGGCACTTCATTAAATACAGGTCTGACTCTGGTGTGGACGTCACTGCACACTTTTGTCATTCAGAAATGGTGGTTGAATTTCTTTTTGGTGAAGGACCCGTAAGATAACTCCACCCGGAAATGTTCCCATCGTCACTGGACCGAGGCTCATTTAAAATGGACTGACGCAAAGTGGAGAACTGCTCTGTGGTCAGAATAATTGAAATCTGAATGTCTTCCATAGGCCTGTCACGATAAACAATAAATCAATTAATCGCGTGATGAATGAAAATTATCGCCCTCATTTTCATTTATCGGCTTTATCGTTTCTTCATGTCTCTCTCTTTCTACTGAAGACACTGGATGACAAAAGGCTCAGCTCCGGTGCTCTTCACTGACCCCTCACTTTCTCTTTAAAATTGCGTTTTTGGATGGCTAAAAGCAGCTAAGCTATAAGCTAAGCTAACAGGCCGACCTCAGGAAAAAAACTCTTGTCTTGTTGAAGTTCCAAAATTCACAGTTTAAACCTGTGCCTTTGTGTAAAAAGTTGTTTTTCTCTGCAAAAAGAAGCTGAGAACTTGTTTACTGATTAAAAAAAAATTTTTTATTAAAAGTTTTGTGTGAAAAATGCTATGCTAAAGAGCTCAAACCTCTGAATGTATGCCATGTCACCATGTCAGCCCATGTCATGTCAAGAGTCCTCCCTCATTTTTTTTTTTTAAGAGATGCTGCGCAATTGTCCATCCTTTTGGTTCAGACATTCTTATACTGCCATCAGGTGGTCAAAAATGGTACTACACTCCAAACAAATCAACATTTCTCCTAAAATTTGACAATTATTTATTGTTAAA